CACACCCACACACACCCACACACACACACACACATATTCCAACCTCTTTATAAGAAAAAAAAGAAAAAACAGTTCTGTGTTCTGGGTTCTTCAAAGTGTTCCATGGATTCTAGTTTTTCTTTTTAATTTCCTTCTCAGATTTAGTAAATATCTGGTTGTCAAAAGGTATTTCATTGTCAGAACTTTCTCCTAAGGTTTAATTTTATATTATTCTCCTCTTGTTTGAAAGGATTATGACTCTATTGTGAAGCTGGTAGAGACATTAGAAAAACTGCCAACCTTTGATTTGGCCTCCCATCACCATGTGAAGTTTCATTATGCGTTTGCACTGAATAGGTAAGAAAAAAATGTTCCCTTCCACGATGCACAAACATCTTCTTTAACTGCAGGCTTTTTTTTTTTTTTATTCTTATTATTTTTATAAATTTTGTTTATTTTGTTGCTGTCGTTGAGAATATACACAGCAAAAACGTACACCAATTTGACAGTTTCTGCATGTACAATTTAGTGACATTGATTACGTTCTTCGAGTTGTGTGACTGTTCTCACTCTCCTTTTCTGAGATGTTCCTCCCTCATTAATATAAACTCACAGCCCTCTAAGGTTCCTATCTGACCTTTTGAGTTGCTGTTGTCAATTGATCCCATATAGATAGATCTTAAAAGAGCATAACACTTTTTTACTAGTTAAGCTAAACTCTTGTTTGGTTTTAAGATGACTTCAGGGATATTGTTGGTTTAAGGTTTAAAGATTTTCTCAGGGCAATAGTTTCTAGGGTTCATCCACCTTCCATGACTCCAGAAAGTCTAGAGTCCCTTAGAATTTGAAATTCTGTTCTGGTTTTCCCCCCTTTCGATCAGAATTCTTCTACGGAATCTTTGATCAAAATGTTCTAACTGCAGATTCTTTATAGGGTATATTTTTACTGAAGCATTGCAACCACTCCTTATTAGAATATAATATTAACATATCCACCTAAACCATTCAAAATATAAGAAGCATGCATTTTGATTTTTTTTCAGTAAAAAAGTCCCCCACAATTTTTAAATTTTTAAAATTCTTTTTCTTTTCTATCAAAGCTTTTGCTTGCCATTTATATATTTTAGTACTTTTAAATCATAGGACTATGAAATTATCTTTAAGCAAATATACTCAACACCAAATGATTATTTGCACAAAAATTCACTGAATGATAATAAGCATAGTTGTGTCTTGGTGAGCATATTCCTAACCAGAGAGTATTTTCCCTGGCACTGCTCTAAGCACACTTAATTACAATCAAAACTCTGTTGGCCACATTTTAGATTATAGCCCATGAATCTTCTAGGACAAGGATGGTACTGTGTGCTTTCTTCCTTCTTCTAGTCCTGCCTCTGTGCCTTCTCTCTGAATCATGGCACATCTACGGGCCCCTTCCTGCCCAGAGTCACCATAGTGAGTCATCCATACTTTGCCAGGGGAGGGGCCTAGAACAGCGAACTGCCCAAGGCTTAGTTAGCTGTGCTGGTGTTCTCTTCTGTGGTGGAGAGTTGACTACCATATTTTTATGCAAATAACATGTGTGTTATACATTTTTTTGCCAACCCCGAAACCTCCCCTAGCTGTTTTCATGAGCAAGCTATGCGGCACGTTGTATGTGTGGGCATGTAATTTATGTGGATACATTTTTTGTGAAAAATATGGTATATATGTAATTACTATGACTGGGGAGAATGATTTAAAAAAAGGAAAGGGAAGGGACATCACATGACATTTCCCTGTGTCAGGTAAGGCTTGATGATTTGTATTTTACAAATGAAGAAACTGAAGCTTGGAAAGGTTGAGTAACTGTTCTTCAAGGCTCATAGTTAATATGTCACAAAACATGTCTCAAGGCCAGTTCTATGTGATACAGAAGTCTGTGCTCTTCATCACTAAAGCTCCACCACCTCCATCTAGAAAGAAAACAGTTAGCATGTCACTCATCCAGAGATTGTTTCCTTCTTTATCCATCCAGACTGTAGAACTTGCTAACCTTTATCAATAAATGTATAACAAAATTTATTTTATCTCACTACTTATTAAACATCTTTTTTCTTTAGATTCCGTAGAGTTAGATGAGACCTCCAGAGATTACCTGCTCCAACTGGTTTTCAAATAAGTCATTTCTGAAAGGTGAAATGAGATATGTTATATTTTGAAAGTAAAAAGTGAGATTCCATAGGAGCCTTTCTGGAAATATGATAAACATATTTATATGAAGCATTATTCTAAACTCAAGGCATTTAGTGCAATGGGTAAAAAGGAATTTCATGAACAGAAAGATATAAAGTAGTAGTTGAAAACATAAATAACTTCTTTTTTTATAACACTGTATTGGAATACTATACAATTCACTCATTTAAAGTATGCAATTCAATGGTTTTTAGTATATCCACAGAGTTGTGTGACCATTAATACAATCAATTTTAGAACATTTTTATCACCCAAAAAAGAAATCCCATACCCATTAGCAGTTACTCTTCCTTTTCCCCCTAACTCCTCCAGCCCTAAGCAACCACTAATCTACTTTGTGTCTCTGTAGGTTTACCTATTCTGAACATTTCCTATGAATGGAATCATACTAGATGTGGTCTTTTGGGACTAGCTTTTTTTACTTAGGATAATGTTTTCAAAGTTCAAAAAATAACTCTTACAAACGTTTTTATATGCTGTTGAGAATTATCTACACATAACTTGCTATTTAAAAATTGCCTACAAAAAGCAGCTTTCTCAGATAACCAACTGGTCACACTTAGAAATTAGGCAACTCTTAAGTTAGACTTGGTTTGTTCCTATTGTCAGTGAATTAGTTTGCTCAGTGTTTTGCATAGCCATTGAAGTCTTCTGTCAGGTTTTTGTCCCTGTTTGGAATAAATGATTCTGCCCCACTTAAGGCCGTAGACTGCACCCCTAATTTTACTCTACTTCCATATAGGCTACAAGGGAAGTTGGGAAGACTTTGTTGGGAGTACAACTCCACCACTATTATTAGAAGAACACCTCAAAAGAGATCCTCATTAGACCCAGTAGACATGCAATATGACCAAAAGAAAAAAAGGCTTAAGACAGAGTTTTACAGAGGACTTTCAAAATCTAATTGTTTTTAACCTGCCAAACGTCACCAATGTGAATTAATATATAAAATAAATAAAATAAAATAAAGTTTTAAAAAGATAATTGGACCATTGCTTCTGTAATTTCTATTGAAACATAGATGTTTTCACCCCCTACCTTAGGAGAAATCTCCCTGGAGATAGAGCAAAAGCTCTTGATATTATGATTCCCCTGGTGCAAAGTGAAGGACAAGTTGCTTCAGATATGTATTGCCTAGTGGGTCGAATCTACAAAGATATGTTTTTGGACTCTAATTTCACAGACACTGAAAGTAGAGACCTTGGAGCCTCTTGGTAAGTATACATAATGTAAGTAAGATAATCAATCTATGACATAAAACATTTTTTCAGACAAGAATGTTAAAGTGTTATTATTATCCTTTAGAGTGTGTTTTTATGAACCAAATCTTAGATTTTATAGCTTTAATAAATAATTTTGATGCAATTCGTATAATAGGGCACAGTAAATTAGGGTAAATTAGATGAAAAGATAATAATTTAAGAAAATATATAATTTTTAAAAAGATTTGAAATTTAATACATAATATAGTAACTAAATATAATTTTGTGGAGAAATGTATACCATTATAGAGAGACATTAAAGAAGATCTGAATGAATGGGAAAATATAACGTGTTTGTGGATGAGAAGATTTGATATTTTAAAGATATTAATTCTCCCCAGCAGGGCTTTTCATGTAGTCTGACAAACTGATTCTAAAATTTATTTGAAAGAATAAAGGGTCAAGAATAGGCAAAGCAATTCTGGAGAACAAGGTGGAAGAACTTCCTCTACCAGACAACAATACATATTATAGAGCTGAAACAACTCATAATATGGGTGTAGGCATAGGCAAGTAAAATGTTGGTACAGAAGAGTGAGCCTGGAACAGACTGAGATATTTATGAGATTAAATTTATGACAGAGTAGACTTCATGAACCAGAGGGGAAAGGATGGATAATTCAGTAGTGGTACCAGAAAATTTGGAAAAAGTAAAATACTTTTGGAAAAAGTAAAATACTCCTTGGAAAAAGTAAAATAAAATTGGATCCCTATTTCACGCTATGCACAAAAAATAAAGTCCAAGTAAATTAAAGACCTAAATATGAAAAAAAAAAAAAAAGCTACTTTGAAAGAAATACTTTTAGAATAAAATATACAAACTGTATTTATGACTTTGGGATAGGAAGCGATTTCTTAGACAAAGCTTAAACATAACGTAAACCATAAAAGAAGAGGTTGTGAAACTTGACTGCATGAACATTTATTTCTGCTCATCAAGCCATTGGCCTTTAGAAATTGGTAGAGTAGCTTCTATATTACACTAATACTTTGGCCAATAACAATTATAAACTTCAGAAAAACACTAAAAAAAAAAAAAAAGCCTGAAGACAACAAGTGACTAAAAGTAGCCAGAAGAGGTTTTGACGCTTGGATGAAGGGCACCACATTCAGTAAGATCCGTATTTAAATAACTTTTCCCTTGAGGCACTCCCTGGTCTGCAGGGTACAGGGCAGATGGAAGTAAAGCACAAAAATCACTATCTGATTGTCCTGAGGAGTCAGAGGATGAAATTTGTGACTGCCAGAGTGCCTGGAAATTGAGTGGGCTATCCCGTAAATGAAGGACCCACAGAGAGAGGAGCCCCAAAATGTGTATATAAACTCCACTCTAATTCTTGGCTGACCCCTGAAGTGTGCATATGTGGGATGAAACTAAAAGAAACCCAGGAAGAAAACAGCAACTGAAAGGATAAAAGAGCTGTACAGATATTTCAGCAACTGCTCACTGTAGGGGAGACTGAGTTTGGAGTTTGAATCTCATCAAGTTAGAGGGGCTTGATAAACACCTTGAACTTTCCACTGAAACTACAGAAGGATTGAGCCTAAGGAACAAAAACTACATCCCCGGACTAAGGGATTTCCTGGAGCTAAGAACAAAACCAAAACAGAGCTACCCCAATAAAACCTAAAACCAAACCTCCACACCATCAGAGAACCAAATAAATAATAATTTATTTGCCTGCTATAGCAAAACTCAGTACTCTTTAAGAAGAGGATAACAGGACCCAAAGTCTACGGCATATCATCCAAAATGTCTAGTAACCAAAACATCATCAAAAATTTCTGAAGATGTGAAGATATAGGAAAGTGTGATCCATAATCAAGAAAAAAAAACAGTCAATAGAAACAGACCCACAGACCACACAGATTTTGAAATTACCAAGCAAGGACATTAAAATAACAATGATAAATATGTTAAAGAATCTACTGTAAAGATGGATATAATGGGTGAAGATATGAGAAATTATGGAGAAATATGGAAACTGAGAAAGAACCAAATAGAAATCCTAGAACTGAATAATACATCTGAAATCAAAATTTCATTAGATGGGATTAATAGCATATTGGACACAATACAAGAAATGTTAAGTAAACTTGAAAACAGGAATCATTCAAATTGAAACAGAGGGAAAGAGAGAAGAGTAAGGAAGAACTTAATAGTCACAATGATGGGTGGGATGGTGTTAAGAGATCTAACATGACTGGAGAAGGAGAGGAGAGACTATAGCAGGAAAAATGTTTGAAGAATTAGTGACAAAACATTATCTAAATTTGATCAAAAACAACAGCCCACAGATTTAGGAAGCTCAGCAAATCCCAAGCAAGATAAACACATACCTCAGCACATCATAGTAAAATTGTTGAAAAACAAATATAAAGAAAATGCCACAAATGCAGCCTAAGAAAAAGATCCATTACATACAGGGATATGCTGACTTTTCATCAGAAGGAAACCAAAGGACAATTAAATGACATCTTTGAAGTGCTGAAAGAAAAAAAAAAACAACTTAAAATTCTTTATCCAGTAAAGTATCTTTCAAAAATGAAGATGAAATAAAGATATTTCTAGATAAACAGGAACTAAGATAATTTGTTGCAGCAGAGCTTCACTGCAAGAAATGTTAAAGGAAAGCATTTAGGCTAAAGGAAAGTCATACCAGATAGAAACTTAGATTTATAGACAGGAATGTAGAACACTGGAAAAGGTAAATATAAAAGATAGTATCAACAAAGTGAAAAAATAAATCATGGGCAGGTAGCAATGTAAATAACCATTAAAAGATTAGTATTCAGTGTATGTATATATATGACTCCTAAAAATCTTTAAGAAAAAAGATAGAAAATGAGCATAGGATATGAGCAGGCCATTCACAAAAGAGAAATCACGAATGACTAACAAACATATTTTAAAAATATATAAAAGCATGTAAAAAGATGCTTAACCTGCAAGCTAAAACAACGGGATACCATTTTACACTATTCGGTAAACAAAAATTTATAAATCTGACAATATCAATTGTTGGCAAAAATGTTAGAAAAATGGGAGTCCTAATCCCCTGTGGTTGTAGTGTAAATTGTTATGATTACTTAAAGTAATTTGGCATTATCAAGAAGAGCTGACCGTTTGCCCAACCTTGATCCAGGAGATATACTCCTATTTATGTAACCTAGAGAAACTCTTTAAGAAGACATGCTTAAAATGGTTATTGCATCATTGTTTATAACAGCTGTAAATCTAAAAAAGAGCAAAACAAGCAAGTGGCAGAAGGATACATAAAGTATGGTATCATTTATATAAAGTATATATATTTAATAAAAATGTAATATGTTAATGGGAATGATGAATTCCAAATTCAGTTTAATGGTAAACTGTTGGGAGGAAGGAAGAGAACAAGATTATGATTCACATGCAGCTTTAAGTATATCTAAAATGTTTTATTTCTTAAGCTGAGTTGTGGCTACATGGTGTTACTTATATTCTTTTATACTTTTTAGTATTCCTAAAACATTTCTAAAATACTACCTGATGAAAAAAATATTAAAGGAGGTCAGTTTAGTTCAGGAGTTCCTCAAGGATAGCCATAAAAAATTTTTAAAGTTGTAAAACGGCAATCTTAACTTTTGAAAATCTTGTGTCATCTTAGCAGTTTAATGGGGACTGAAAGTGGGATAATGGATTATAACTAAACAGGGAAACTTGGGGAAAGTGATTTCTTAGGCCCTTCATGGGAAGCTTTGGCTTAGGCTTTTAAATTTGTACTATAAATGTTTATTGTTGTGCAGAAAATTTTACGGTTTCTCTTAACCAAATTTTTTTGCTGTTACAAAAGAAGAATGTAACTATGCAGCCTATTTATAACCATATGATTTATACTTAAGGAAAATTCTTAACAGTTGAAGAATTAGAATCTGATATTTGGAAAGCATTATACCCAGGATAAATGCTTCCATATGGCAGTGATAATGAAATGTATATGTAATCCTGAAAAGGCTGGTTTTCATGGTCAATTAATTCAAATGGAGAAACATCTCCTATGAAGTCAGTGTGCGTCATGCAAGGAATAAAATAGAACTATTTTCCCATTTGAAAACAAAACAACTTAGACTATGCACTGCTTTCAAAGTTACATAAAGTTAAGTAAGGATCAGTGCGTTCTGTGGTTTAGTTTTTGTTTTAACTTTCTGTGTTTCCCGATCCTGGCTCCATTTTTATGGCTCCCACTTAGCCTAGTAACATTAACTATCTTTCAATAGAGGTTTGTGTTCAAGGTCTTGATGTTAAGGTGTAGATGTCTAAATTTTTATAATTTAATTTTAAGCTATTTGTTAACTTTCTAGTAAGAACAAGGAAGCTGTTAGGTGTCAGAGCCTTTTAATGGGAGGATCCTTAAGAGTTGGTCTTGTATGTGTCACTCACTGACTTATTGAATAATACAAGAAAGTCACTCTTACTATAGATTAGCTATTCATAACCTGCCATTATTGTTGTTGTATCCATTTGTCCTAAAGGATGCTAAGAGGATTCCTCACTCCCCCTCCCTGCTCTGTTTTAAAATGGATATCTAAATATATCTAAATGGATATATTTCAAGCCCTTATACTTATAAAGCTACTTCTGTATTTCTTAGTGTTTTGATCCAACTTCCACAGTAGGGCAAACAGGCACACATTCGTGTTGGTATTGTCCCTAAGCTCCCTTTCTGTTAGAATTGAGAAGGAAAATTACCCAGTCAGGTTTTTGACCTGGGAAGATGTCACTGAGGTCGTGACATACCCAAGATGATGCGTTTCCTGAGTCAGGGGTCCCAAAGGGATGTTTAAACTGACTGTCTTCCTTGAGCCATAATCCTCTGTGCTTTCACTTGCCAAAGCAGTGCTGGGATAAGGGGTGGGATGGTCGTGGAGGTAGTCAGTCCCTCAGGCTTCTGAGGTGACACTTTCCATGGCCT